TATGTACTGAGAAAGCAAAAAATCAGAAGACTTGCTTTATTGTGATATTCACTTCATTGTGGTGGTCTGGAGCTGAACTCACAAAATCTCCAAGGGATCCCTGTATGTATCAGCAAAAGTGAGCTAAATTTAAGATAATGGTGGTTTCAGAAAAGTAATCATTCAGTATCTTTTCTAGTCCAGTAGTTTATGATATCCTTCAATGAAATCTTACCTTCTCGAAAAACTGATGATATTTTAAGATGGTAAGGCTTAGCTCGTTCAACGGCTAATTTTCGGTGGACTCTAGGAAGGATTTTTCCATATTGGTCTAATATAGAATTTCGAGCCACTGATCTCTCCCTCAAACGAGGATCACGATCATTCTATTGAACATATCATAATTGGCAAAAATTTAATCTTCAAAATGTTAGGTGCTATAGTTATATATTTACCATTTAAGATAAAATTATAAATATCCAAAAACATCTTCCTCCTATCTACATATCCATTTTTTCCAAATCAAGGACTACATACACATACCTAATTGCTTTATCAATCTTTACCCATCAATAAATTCCAAATCTGTTACCAAGTCTTGATTCTTTACTATTAAAACAATGGTTATTAAAAACAATGGTTATCATTTATTAAGCATCCACATGTGTTAGGCAACATGCTACTTTACATACACCCCTGTTCATTCTCACGTGATATTAACCATTTTACAGGTGGGGGAGACCAACGCTCAGAGTATGTCCCAAGCACATAGCAAAGTAAGAATTTGTCTGACCCTTGATGTCCAATGTTTTTTGTACTATTTCACTTACTGCTATCTTTTACCTCTTTCTATTTTCCGAGTGAAATGGTTAGTCTGGCAAGATTACAGGCAGACATCAGAATACAAAGGGCATATATAAAAGAATTCGATAAGTAATAATACCCTGTTCCCAATTCTGTTACAAAGATTGAGTAGAGGATTCTCCAAGTTCAAGGTAATGTAAGGCACAGTGGTTACCAAACTGCAAGCTGTTACATAATAAACAAACCACAAAAGTCTGCAGTTTTCCTTATTCTCTTGTCCCCCACAATAAAACAACTTTAATCATACCATAAGATTAATCTTCAGAGTTTGGTTCAGCTTCAAGGCAGGGACATAATTGGCACGCTGCAAATGATGAACTAAAAGGAATTCATGATTCTGAACACTGGCACTGGACTGCAAAAACTTCACTAAACATTCCTAAAAAGAACAAAATACATTTAGAGACTATCGATTTATCCTGAATTTCTGACAACTTTACATTGATAAGTAATTACCTGCTCAGTGTCTGTAAATGGTAACTTCAGTAAATCCTCCATTAAGCCCATTTCCTGACAGACTTCATATGTGTGCTTCAGTAACTCCTCTATATTCAACCTATTAGAATGTTGCCGCAATAAACTCCAAGCCTCAGTCATGCACCTGAAATCATTATTTATCAAAGTTTAGTTTTAGAAAAGCGATTTACATGTTCACAAGTAATCTACTTATAGAATCTCAAAGATACTTTATACATGTAATTTAAAAGTACTTGAAAAATTTATTGAATACTAAGTACTGCATAATGAATCTTGTTAATGTCAATAAGACATCTTTGAAGAATTTTATGCTGCTCTTTAAGTGTAAAAAAAAAAAAAAAAAAAAAAGCAAAGTAAGTGCACAGAAGTTCAAAGAGGACAAAAAACTAACGTGGCCTGGACAGAAGTGAAAGATTTGATATGGTGTGACAGAGGCTTTTAAGGAAGTGACACTCAGAAGAGTGGAAAAGAGTACGAGTGAAGATCTACAGGTGGAAACAAACATATTGTGTTTATGGGGAGGGGAAGAGTATAGCTTAGTGGATGATTTTGACTGATTTGCAGTAAGATCTGATTGGAGAACTTGGGGTCAAATTTGACCATCTCAGACTCTATGTGGAGGTGCTGAGAGGTCCCTCTGTGGGCAGTAAGACTATTTAAATGAAGCAGTGTTTCTTACACAGAAGTCACTCAAAATCAGGTGTGGATTCAGAGAACTTAAGAAAAAAAAAAAAAAAGCCAGTGTTCAACTCATACACCACCGACAGGATCATCTTGGAGGTTCACTCAAGTGTATCTACACACACAAAAATTACACATAGGCTACGACTCAACAATCCCAATTCAAGGAATATAATCTACAAAAATACCAGAAAAAATGCATAAAGATTTATGTTTAAGACTATACAGTGATATAATGGATTGTTATGTAGCCCAATATGAGGCAGACATATATTGACTTAAAATTATGATACATTGTTTAAAAACCAAGTTCAAAACTATGTGAATAACGATAATTGTAAAAATTAACAAGCAAATGCTTATATATTTATTTAAGTAGATAAAGTTCTGAAAGATATACACTAAGATTGACAATGATTAATCTGGCAGTTAAAAATTTTGGAGAGGCTGACAACTTTCAAGACAGAAGGGAGGCAGAATAAAAAATGGCAAGTAGGCCGGGCGCGGTGGCTCAGGCCCGTAATCCTAGCACTCTGGGAGGCCGAGGCGGGCGGACTGTTTGAGCTCAGGATTTCGAGACCAGCCTGAGCAAGAGCGAGACCCCCGTCTCTCCTAAAACTAGAAAAAAATTAGCCAAACAACCAAAAATAGAAAAAATTAGCCAGGCATGCTGGTGCATGCCTGTAGTCCCAGCTACCTGGGGGCTGAGGCAGAAGGATTGCTTGAGCCCAGGAGTTTGAGGTTGCTGTGAGCTAGGCTGATGCCACGGCACTCTAGCCCAGGCAAGAGAGTAAGACTCTGTCTCAAAAAAAAAATAAAATATTACATAAAAGACATAAAAGTTATTTTAGTAAGGAATGTATGGGGGCTCTTGGCAATACAGCAGAGAAGATAGCCTGAAAAACTCTCCTGTGACAAACTCTAAAAACGCCAGGCTGAAGATAATGTTTTGAAATGCACGGTGGAGACCACAATGAAAAAAAGCAATTCCAGAGAGGTAAACAAGCAACTCCTGATTTCTAGTAAAATCTTTTAGCAGAATAAAAGTAAAATGACTAGGAAAAGGCATAGAGGGTATAAATAACAGAATATTGGTGTAGTTACATTAATAATTACTCATGATAAAGATTATTATATAATAATAAATGGTTAAAGTCATCTAAAAAAGATTTAAACACTTATTTACCTAATATTCAAAATACAAAAAGCTGGCCCAGTATTACAAGGAACTGACACATCCACCGTTAGAGTAGGTTACCATACTTTTCTTAATGACTTATTAAACAGACCAGGAAAAATAACTATTAAGGAGACAGAAAGATTAAAACCTTGCAATGGCCTGGTATGGTAGCTAGCACCTGTAATAACAGCACTTTGGGGAGCTGAGGTGGGAGGATTGCTTGAGGCCAGGAGTTAGAGAGCAGCCTGGGAAACACTGAACAGATCCCATCACTACTTAAAAAAAGAAAAAGAAAAAGAAAAAAGAACCACGCAATGAGCAAACTTAATCTTTTGGAGAAATATATTTGACACTTCACCTAATAAATGGAGTATACACTGACTATTTACTAGCGGGTAAATCAAGTCTTACCAAGTTTTAAAGGACAGGTACCACATGGATCACATTATGTGATCACAATACAATTAAGTTAGAAAACAATAAGATGATAATTTTTATATCCTGTATTTATAAATTAAACTTCTAAATAATAGAGAAAAGAAAAAATCATAATGAGAATTAAAATATTTAGAACAGAATGATAATTAAATCTGTGGGATGCTGAAGTAATATGTAAAACATTTTGATTATTTTTATGTAAGTAAAGAAAAAGACTAAAAATGAGATAATCATCCAACTTGAGTTAAAAAGTACAGCAGAATAAACTCACATAAAGTAGAAAGAAGAAAAGAATGAAGACAGTAATTATGCCTATACAAAAGGGTTTTCCAGCTCTTTTATACATTTATGATACTAAGACTGAATAATCAATGGTAACAGCTCAGTATCATAAGCCTTTATCTACCTCAAGTCTATCACTGTATAGTGCATTACGGTTAATTTGCAAGCACAACTGCTAAGCCATAGTTATGATGCTATGTCCATAAAACGGCTCATAAAATTGAAAAGCTACCAGTGTAAAATTGTTAAAGAAGCAGAAAAGATAATCTTAATAATAAAGAAGAGGTGGTAGAGGCTAGAGTCAGGTTAGAAGGTTTAATAAATGATGACAATGATGGTTGATTTCTTAAAAAAATCAATCACTACCACTATTTATTAGTAATTTACCACCTGCCAGCAACTGTAACAATTCTTGTGCCATTTAACCCTCAAAATATTGCAAAGTGGGCCTTATTAATCCCATTTTACAAATGAGAAAACTCAGGTTCACAGAGGATAATTAAACTGTTTTTGATCATATTTTAGAAAGTGGTACAGTTTAAGTTTAAATTCAAGTCTATTTGAGTCCAAATACTGTGGTCTTAACATCTTTGCTACACTCTGGCTGTTCCAATAACCTTATTTGTAAGGGTACAAATTAACAAACAATATCACTAACAAATTAACAGTTCAAAAACAGAGCAACACTTCACTTATCTTGTAGAGGATGAGTCTGGGGAGGGATTAGTATTCTGATGGTTGAAATATTAATACTTTTCCAGCCATTTAAACTATCATTATGCAGTCACAACATCTGAGTGTTAGACCACACGACGTAGCCTAATCTATTAGTTCAAATTTCCCAAACAGCCTCTATCCATGGTTCATGCATATATTGATTAATCACTCCGCTGGATTAGAGATGTAGGTATTTGGAGAAATTAGGTGATTATGTACTGACCGCAGGACATACCCAGGAACTTTGTTTTCTTGAGTAAGTCCCTGTTTTCTTGTCAGCTTGTTTTCTTGTCATTTGCTTCTTTCTAATAAAAGTGGAGTCTAAATTATGCTGCTACATGATCTCCTGGGCAATGAAACATGGCTGCCTTTTCCAAAATTATCAGTTCAAAAATAAAAGCAGCTTTCTCCTAAGGTGGTTTCTTCCTTTCAATAAAAACTATCACCTTCACTGTCTTAACAGTGTTCTCTGACTTTATAGCAAAACTTAAGTCATTCTCTATTTACAGGACCAGTAATTATTTTTAACAGTTCCTGAATCTGAACACGAGCTATCTCACAAATGGCATTTTGAGTGATTATTTGTTTTTATTTCTGCACTTAACAATGTGCTAGTTTTCTAGGACTAGATAATTGAGGTTTTACTCTCTTTAAGAGAAATAACATTTAGAAATTAAATTATTGAGTGTTTGTCTACCATATGGCTAAAAGAGAGGAACTGAGAACCTAGCAAATCAGAGAAACATGCTAGGGATGAATCAAAGGAGGATAATGGAATCAAAAAAAGGAAAAATCAGCAATCTTTCAAAGGTGTTTTTTTCCAAGGTTCCAACATCTGCTTTTCTGATATAAACAATAATGACCAAGTGCCAACTCTTTAAAGTCACTAAGGAGAAGCTATACGCAACTGAAAAAAATTTACATGCTGGCTGTCTACCCAGTACCAGAACTCTTAACCCGTTAATTCAACAGTTATCACATTTAGCTTCTTTAAATTTCTTTTTTTTTTTTTTTTTACAGTGAAGCTTATTGAAACTACAATTTTAATCTCATAAAAAATTTGATTCAGTGTTGATTCTACATTAAACTAGCTAAACACTTTTGCTAAGCCAGATTATTTCAACAAGTACTTCCCAATTCATTACTTACAACGAGGTAAAATGACTAATTTCTAAAAATGTAATTATTGACCAATAAAAGTTGTATAAAATAAAGTTACAGCCCGAGAAATACAACAATTACAGCAATATGTGTATTGCTATTTTTTAAATATTTTTAGAGTATTGCTCTGTTGCCCAAACCAGAGTATAGTGACATGATCATAGCTCAACTGCAGCCTCAAACTCCTGGGCTCAAGCAATCCCCTTACATTGGCCTCCTAAAGTGCTGGGATTACAGGCTTGAGCCACCACCCCCAGCCTGTATTGCTATAATATAAATGGCAAATATACTTATTAGAGAACATTAAACTACTACGTTAAGACATGAAATCTGATACTTTCTTAAATCATTTAAACATATCATTTGGCTGGCCATGGTGGCTCATGCCTATAACCCCATCACTTTGGGAGGCCAAGGCAGGAGGATTGCATGAGGCCAGGAGTTGGCAACAAGCCTGGGAAACATAGTTAAGACTCTGCCTCTATCCAAAAAAAAAAAAAAATTAGCTGGGCATGGTTGCATATGCCTGTAAGCCTAGCCGTACTAGGGAGGCAGAGGCAGGTGGGTCGCTTCAGCCCAGGAGTTTGAGATTACAATGAGCTATGATTGCACCACTGCACTCCAGC